TCGAAGGAATTTTTCTGAGTGTTTTTTCTGAGTGTTCGATCTTTGTAGTAATAATAATAACAAACTAGTGGAGTCATTTCACAAAAAATTATTGAATATCAATTCAATAAAAATTTAATTTACCTTATATTGTTACAGCCTTTCTTTAAACATTACTTCTTTAATAAATTTTGTGGACCGGAAGTTTCCCATTTCATTGCCGTGAACCTATTCACGGCTAGTTAGGGTTACAACCCTTTCAGTTTTAATCAACATGACAATTTCAAGTGTAATTTGCTTACCTATGAAATAAAGATTGGTTGACTTTGGCTTTGGCTACGACTTTTGTCAAGGTTAACCTTAATGTCTGTTTGTGTATAGTTTCATTCACCCTTGGTGGTAGAAGCGCGAAAAAATAGTTTTGTGCAAAGTAGGTATTATTCGTTGCCTGGGATGAACAGGGTATTAAACTCAAGAACACAGATTTTTACGAAAGCATTATTTTAGACCAGTGATTCCCAAAGTGGTCCAGGTGGACCCCCAGGGGTCCACGGGAGACTTGCTGGGGGTCTATAAGATGTTAATGGGGGTCCACGAAAAATTATCTGCTTTTGATAGTAAGGAGCAAAAATGTAAGCATAGTTTTATAAGGGCCTACCTACATTGTTTTAAGTACATAACTAAGCAGATAATATTTTAATAAGGCAAGCGACTTTTACTTGTCCAAACTTGCGTATTCGATATTACGTACAATTTCGTGTACGTACATGTACAGACTTGCAAAGCTGCTTGTATAGATAGGTAACTTAGGAACTTGCAGATATTTTAATTGTCCTCTTTCGATTTGAAGACAAACACAGCACGTTTTATTCAATTGTTTTTTCGCGAGAGAAGCACTGCCTCTCTAAAAAGGCCGAAAAAGCAATAGCAATTAATTTTTCAATTTTTCTTGCAAATAACTACTAATTTTATAAAACAGTATAAAAAAGTCACGTTTTAACAATGAAGGCGCAGACAAAAAATACGCAAATACATCATTGATTTGATGAAATGTTAGTTATCGTTTTTATGGACAATTTTGGGATTTCGACTTTTATTTTTTCCTACACAAATATGATCAGTATTCGATACTGAGTACACCCATTTTTATTTGTACTATTAAAAATTAGTGGTAATTTAGGTACTTTAAAATTGATACCGTTTTGTGAAAACGTCTGTATTTGTCTTAGCGGTTATTAGTTGGCCCCTTAACAAGCCGTAATTCTATTTCTGCGTGCTGACAAAGGCTGCGGTGTGATACCTATATTCAGAAAAAAACTTGGTTACTAAAACATTCTTTTTTACAGGTAAGGTAACTGACACGAAACATGGCTACAGCAAAGAAAAAATGTCGACAATATAGTGTCGATTATTTGAAATATGGTTTTGTTCCATCAGAGGCAGACAAACAATTGCCCATGTGCCTATTATGCAACAACGTTTTGAGCAATGACTCTATGAAACCATCAAAGCTCGAAGATCATCTAAAAAGGTGTCATACTGACAAAATAGGTAAAGATTTAAAATATTTTCAAACATTGAAGGAAAAATATGAAAAGAGACCCACCATGCACAGTATGTTCGCTTCAACATCTCAAAGTAACGATGACGGCTTGCGGGCATCTTACAATATCTCATTACTTATAGCAAAATCTGGAAAACCGCACACTATCGGAGAACAATTAATTTTACCCGCTGTTGAAGAGGTTTTAAAAACTGTTTTGCACAAATCTCCATTTGACGTACTAAAAAGAATTCCATTAAGTAACAATACTGTTCAAAGACGCATTGATGAAATGAGCTCTGATATCGAAAGTTTTTTGTGCGATCATCTGCAAAAAACTCATTTTTCTATACAACTGGACGAGTCAACGTTACCCGGTAATGATGCATTATTATTGGCATATGTCCGATTTATTATGGAGGAAGAAATTCACGAAGAATTGCTATTTGCCAGAACTTTAGAGACTGACACTAAAGGCGAATCAATATTTAATGTTCTGAGTAATTTTTTTACGGAAAAATCGATTCCATTTACAAACATTATTTCAGTGGCAACAGACGGAGCTCCTGCAATGGTCGGGCGATATCGTGGGTTTATAAGTCATCTCAAAAGAATTATACCAGGACTTACAGCTATTCATTGCGTAATCCACCGACAACATCTTGTGGCAAAACATTTAAGTGACAGGTTGAACCGATCTCTTCATTTTGTAATAAAAGCTGTCAACAAAATTAGAAGCAATGCATTGAATACGCGTTTATTTGCTCAATTGTGCGATGAAAATGATGAAGACTTCCAACGACTGCTCTTACATACTGAAGTACGCTGGTTGTCGAAAGGCGCATGCTTAACGAGATTTTACTCTGTTTTCGATTCCGTATTAGAGTTCCTAGAAAGTAGAGATCCAGATTTAAAAGAAAACTTGATCAAATTCAAAGCAGACATTGCGTATTTGACAGATTTGTTTAAAAAATTTAATGATATCAACTTGCAGTTACAAGGGGACAGCCTGAATTTAATAAAAACAAAGGGGATAATTTCGGCTTTTCTTGGGAAATTGAAATTTATGAAGCAAAACATTAGTCGGCGGGAATTCTCTCAATTTCCAAACTTGTCGCAGGTAGAATGTATTGATGAGGATATCCATACCTACAGTCAACATTTAAGTGCCCTGCATGATGACTTTAAAACCAGGTTTGAAGATATGCTGACGATGGATATACCACCATGGATCATAAATCCATTTGAATTTGATGAAACGGAAGTGGCCAATGTTGCATTACAAGAGGAGCTGCTCGAGATAAGCACCAATGAGGAGCTGAAGGTGAAATTTAGAAAAGGCTACCAAACATTTTGGCTGCAAGCAGAAATACCCGAAAAATATCCTGGACTGTGGGAAATCGCAAAGAAATTTTTAATAGCTTTTCCCTCGTCATACCTTGTCGAAAGGAGTTTTAGTGCCGTTACAAACCTCTTAACAAAAAAAAGGAGCAAATTAAACATCACAGAGCGGGGGGATTTGCGATTATTGCTCACAAAAATAAAGCCAAAGATTGATCGTTTGCTGACACTTCGTCAAATACATCCTTCCCATTAATTAAAATTATAACCTGAACCTATATTACCTTATTATTTTTTTCTTGTAATTCTATTCTTTTAATAAATAAAATGTTATAAAATGTACCATTTTTCGTTTTTATTTTACCTATCGGAATATAGGGACAGAACTCAAAAACGACACAATTTTTATTTTTTGGCGACTTTAAGAATGTGGTAGAAATGTAGCAGCAGGGGGTCCACAGACACAAGTAAAATTTTGAAAGTGGTCCACGAGAAAAATAAGTTTGGGAACTACTGTTTTAGACGCTATTTTTAATTGGTGCTCCTCACCGGTATCCATTTATTGCCTACACATTTAAGAGTATTTTCGAATACTTCTTATCATATATTTAGTTCCGTAGTTTTGTCAAAATCCTGAAAATGTTCACAGAAGTCTGTAATATTTTTGAACATAAAATATTTGTGACTCAGTTTTCACTAAACTATTAATGCTTCATAAATTTATATGAAAAAAAAGAATAATATTCAATTCGATAAAACTTTGAGGAGCGTAGTAGTATCTCAAAAATTTACTCTACATTATAGGTTACCATAACAAGTCAATGAAAAAAATTACCCAAGAAAGGTACTTTATCTTACCTTGAAATAACCGTCTTAGAAATAAATATTTTTAAAATGCCCTTTTAACCAACTTCAAAAAAGAAAGAGGTTCTCAATTCGACTGTATGTTTTTATTTTTGTATATACGTATTTGTGAACCGATTTTCATGATTCTTTTTTGTTGGAAAGAGGATACCTCCATAGTGGCCCCATTTAATTTTGAAGAAAATCATCCACCTCTAAGGGTGGCTATTCACGCATGAAGACTCACAAAAATGGTTGATTTTGCTATTCTCCAATTCAAGGCGTTTCAAATTAACACATGCTGTGTTTTAGTTTTAATACCCCGTTCAACGGACGACGACGTCTTGACGACTACAGCTTCGTGTGTAATACTAAATACGAATGTGTTGCTCAATTTTGGGATCAAAACGCGCAAGAAGTTCAACGATACTGACTCCCGCGCCATTTCACGTCCGATCGTTATAAGACCTGGTTCATTAGAAAGATCTCGATTTTTTAATAGTACTGCATTTTAAAGTAAAACTTTTGAGTTAATACGCTGTTCATCCTAGGCAACGAATATACTTTAATGTATTCACTAAAAAGGACAGCACTGTGTCATCATCACAGACTAGTATTTTGATATTGTCACTAGTGTGTGCAGAAAAGAAGAGAAGAGGCAGTATTGAGATCTGTTGTACTCTAGCTCTAATCAAACAAGGGAAGGAAAGCGCTCCCTCAATTTGATAGCGTAATGATTATATCACAGTACATCGGCCAACGACATAAAAGTGCTTCTCCAGTATTGGTACTTATTACTGGTAAATCGATAACGAAAGATTCGTCTCGTTTCGGCGTTAATTTCACGTGTCAGAAAGATATACTCTGCGAAGAACATGATAGCTTCAAGATTTGAACAGAAATAGCCGAGTAGTATTTTGTAGTAAATATATTTGCTACTGGTCATTTTATACAAACGTAGTAGTTCATACGGAAAGTTTAATAAGGGTTTTCTATAGTAATAGAGCCTTGATATATTGCATTTTCTGAGAAGAGATTTTGTCGAATAATTTTGAGGTACAGCAGATTACGACTTGTAATAGGTACTCTAGTTACAGTATTCTACAACCATATTGTCAAGAATCTAGTAGCGTTATGTTAAGAGACAAAAGTCTGATCAGCGCAAAGGACGTGCATGAGCTATCTTGAGATTTGGTTCGGGTAAACGGGGGCGGGACTTAACATAATGGCCCCCTAGATTAAAGCCGTCCTTTGCGAGACCCCAAAGAATGGCCCTCATCTGCTTTAATTACGTAAGGAAGTCGAAAGCGATCGCTTACAGCTAAAAGAATCAGGCTAAACCTTTGGGGAAACTCTGAGGTTAAGTAAGTCTGACATCCTTCCTGTCGGGATAAGTAAAGAGTTTGAATGCTAGGGTATACCCTAAGCTTGCAAATTTTGTTGGGCAATGTGGTCCTATCTGCTCCATGTGCAGACGTTAGCCTATGAGAATAAAATGAAGGAAAAATGAGGATTGTTGTTAATGAGGAGATCCCCGAGGGGATGTCAGTCCCGGTTCAATACTATCTGGCTCAGATGAACCCTTGTGATATTTCCAGCCCAACACTCTCAGTTACTGAAACCCCAGCTTTACAGACACAAACCTAAAATAAAAAAATGTTGTAAAAAGATCAATTCTAAGAGCCGTCACGGTGAGAGCCGTGATGGACGAGACGAAACGAAAACAGCAAAAGCGACATAAATCACCTTACCTTGATTTATTTCGAAAATTTATGAATTAACATTACAATTCTAGACTCCCTACAAGCCACCATGATCTATTTAAGCTTGCATTGTAACACTTTGTTTATACGTTACCATGGTATTATTACTAATAACTTTTCAAGCAAAACCATGGTAATGTAGAATAGAAAAACTTGTCTTCATCTACCGTAATTGGCTTTTATTGAAATTTAAGTACTAAATTAACAGATAACTAACTTCATTGTCCTTTTAGTCACAAGCAATAAACAATTTGTCAATGATCCTGTCATTTATTTATCCTATTACTTTCCTCTTTTAATCAATAAATCAATTAGTTTGGCGAACTGATTGTGAATTTTTCTCAATTTTGAATATCCGGTATCCGACCAGATATCGTTCTTCTATCCGTTATCTGACCTGATATCTGTTTCATCTCTAGTTATTAATCACAGTTTTACCGAACCACTGACTTTCATAACACAGGTTAGCCTAGCTTGAAAGTCAGTACAACTTTGAACCTCGAAACATACTGCGAAAGAGAAGGCGAATCTATGGAACGTGTACTTAACAACCGTCTCCTGTCGTACCTTGAAGACAACGGATCTCCTCAGTGATCGCCAGTACGAATTCCGAAGAGGGCGATCTACTGGGGATCTTCTTGTGTATGCCTCTCACTTATGGAGCGAGGCTATAGAAGAGCATGGCGAAGCCATTGCATTGTCTTTAGACATTTCTAAGGCTTTCGACAGGGTCTGGCACGCAAGCCTTTCAAGCAAGCTTCCCTCTTATGGGCTTCCCACTGACCTTTGTAATTAGATTCCGGATTTCTTGAGTGAACGTTCGATTGGAGTGGTCTTAGAAGGCTACTCTTCCGAACATAAGACGATAGATTTAGAGATTTAGAGTTCCTCAGGGTTCTGTACTGTCCGCAATCCTCTTTTTGCTGCATATAAACGATATGTTGATTCCAGGTACCTTTGGGTATGCTGATGACAGCACAGTTGTGAACAGGTACTTGAGCAATGCTAGGGTCAGTGGAGAAGAAATCCAGTCTTGTCAAGAGTCCATGGTTAGTCGTTTGAATTTGACACTTAAGGCAGTCTCCGATTGGGGCGATGCCAATCTTGTCAAATTTAATGCTACCAAAACGTAGGCGTGTCTTTTCTCCACTAAACGGAGTCCCTTCCACCTGACTCCGACTTTTCGTGTTATATCCATATCGACAGCCGATCGTCTTCAACTACTTGGAATGGACCTGTCGTCCAATCTGAACTTCGGCAGTTACATTGAATCCATGGCCAAAAATGCGGTAAAGAAGCTTCCAAGGTGAGGCGATACTTCCCACCGGGACAGTTGCTTCAGCTGTAACAAGCACAAGTCAGTCCGGTCGTGTACTGCTGCCACTTACGGGATGGCCCTGCTAAATACCAACTGGCCACCTTGGATTCAATAGACAAGCGTGCTAAGAGGCTTATAGGTGACTCGGAACTAGTAGAGGCGAAGCTGCAGAGCCTTGAACACCGCCGTAGAGTTGCCAGCTTATCGGTATTCTACAGGATATATCACGGAGAGTGTGCGATGGAATTGCATAATTTGATTCCGCCTTCCTCTTTCCATCATCGGGAGACTAGACGTGGGCGGGGGTTCCACCCCTATATTGTGGATATTCTCCGGATTCGCACGAAGCGTTTCGCTTCCACATTTGTATGGCGAGCGGCTAGGGAGTGAAATTGTTTGCCTGCAGACTTGTTCCCCGAACCCTATAACTTGGACCTTTTCAAGGCGAGAGTGAATATGCATTATTTAGGAGTGTATGCTACATCTTCGACCTCATCGTCACTTTCAATCAGGTGAGATGGAGGTCAAATGCGCACTTATTTTTTATAAAAAATAAAAACAATACTGCTTCCGTGGCCGAACGGTTACCATACTGCCACGCAGAGGTCCTGGGTTCGTTTCCCAGGCCGGGAGAAGTATGTATATGGCCTATATTAATTTCTCTCGCGAGTTTGTATGTCATTTGTGGTTGTCTATTTGTGTTCATAGCACCCGCGACACAGGGTTTCCCTAGTGTGGGGTCATGGGAAAAAAAAACAAAAATACTAACAAGTAGTAAATTCTTATGGGATAATAATATGTACCCTTCAAAATGAAAATAAAAACTATTAGTAAAATGGAAATGTGTGAATAGTCTATTCAAAAATTTAACACCACTCGTGTTATTCCTTTTCAAAATATAATTAATTTAACAAAAAAATTGTGCGAGTGGATCAACAGCTCGTTCTTTCGTTTTTGATCCAATAATGGAAATTTCAAGTTCGCATTTATGTGCTTAAATTCCTTTTATTGTTAAATCTAACGTCGTCGTAAAGTTTATTGCGCACGCCACCATAAATGAAATCGATTTCTGATTTTATGCTCACTATAAAAAAATGTTATTACTCTTTGTGACATATTGTTTGATTTCTTTTTATATCAAGGTTTTAAGATTGTTGGATAATTTGTAAAAAAAAACTGTCGCAATAATAAAGTGGTGCAATTCGGAAAGTAACATTTTAGGAAAGTAACGAAAAAATAAAAAATATAATGACATACGAAATAAAACTGTACTAATTTTGTCATGTTTGAAACCACCCAAACATACATGGTTATTTTTTATCTATTCGAATTATTTATCTCATGAATGAGGGTGCGAGCTTAGAGCGATGAAAAAAGAAAGCAAATTATATATAATAGAAATAGCGCTATCTAACTTAAAACATTTAAAAAACCACTAAGAAATATTCTAATATCTCAATTTTTCCTTAAATTATTAATTTGGTGGCTTCCTTTGTAGATCAAAATATCGATATCTCACAAAATAGGTGTAAAGGTACAATTTATGGATAATTTAGGTATGTCAATAAATCTATTAGTCGAAAATACGTATGAATAAGTTTTAACATCTTTAAAGATGCGGAAATACAATTTACAAAAAGTCGATTTTCTCGAAACTTACTCCGATTGAGATAGCGCTTTTCGGCTTATCAGGGCAGTACCTTAGTACCAAATACAAACCTAATAAGTGTCAGCAAAAACATATTTATAATGTTTTGTCAAAAGTCACGGAATAAAAGTCAGTTTGTTAGTACTTTAAAAATAACCCTGTATAGTCGTAAGAGGACTGCTGGTGCTGGTGGCGTTATGTCCTGTTGGATGAAATGTAGTAGTAACTTCCGCAGCCTCCGCAGCCTCCATACATCTTACTTAGTAAGTTAAGCAGTTCAAAAGTTGAAAGTCAAGAGATGTGTTCGCTACTGCGATCGGGCCGGGAGTGTCGATGGAACGAAACAAAATCGGAAAGTGAAGCAAAAGAATGGAACAATTTAAAATTTGAATTTAAATATGACTGTGAGAATAAAATAAGGATTTAAATAAAAAGGTGGGATGACGATCAAGGAGGTCCACCGTTATATAAATATGTTAAAAAGGCTTCTTTTGCCACTTTTTGCATGAGGTATATATATAACCAGCTGTGCATTAAGTTTAACACCACAAATCAATGTATCTAGTAAGACTTGTAAGTCGCAATGTAATTAATTAGCTGTTGGTAAAGTAAAGTAAATAAAAAAAAGATGAAAAGTCGTGTCTGTTATTTCACCGTCACTCTTCTTACCTTACATAACGCTCACGTGGCTGCTTGGCGGCAGAGGTCAGTTAGGTAGACCGACACTTCGAACTCGACGAACTCTTTCAGAAAGAGGTCCTGATACTCACACCAGTAGTAAGGTATCAAGAGCTTACAGGAGGTACAGGAAATTCTGTAGTTTGTGGTCAGGTAATTTGTGATTTAAAAACAAAAGTAATAAGTATTGAGTACTCCTAGCGCCATCTATGTTACTTTCAACGAACCTTCGACTAAGCCACTCCGCCTGTGGTTTAATTTTTAGTAAAATTCTAACAAGAACGTAGTTCGCGGGAATACCGCTAGGTGGCACATTGAAGAAAAAAATTATTTAATATTTTTGCTTGTACTATCTCGTACGTTTGTAAAATAAAGCTTTAATACCAAATATTTTACAGAATAGAGTCCACTTAACATTTCGTTGAGCATAGTGCAAATACGCGTAACTAGCAATGGATTATTAGCGTCCATTTCAGTAATTTAGTGTCCAAAAAAAATTCGCGTAAATGTCGTGGCAACCAAATTGGCGTGATTTACGGAAATCAATTATTATCAGTCCGTAGACAATATAAATGAATACTTACTGTGCAACAATGAGAGTCGTAGCCATTGAAATAACAAAGTAATAAAATAATAAAAAGTAAAATAATAAAAATACAAAAGAGTTGTAAAAATTTGGTTAAGTGCAGGTACGCGCCTTTAATACTACCTACATCTTGGCGGACTTGCACTATCCCTGGCGATTTGTTGAGATGTACATGCAAAATAGCCTGATTTTTTTATGACGACCGAGCTAGAAGTAGTGGACCCTATCATACACTACACCTATGTACACCAGCCAGCACATCAAGCTACACATTGACGTATCTTGTTCCGTTGCAATGAAGGCGATTTTCGAACAAAAATGTGTATAGTCTGATGTGTCGTTGTCCGTACATTTCAATCTTCAATGTACTTAAATGCTTAAATGAATTTATTTATTACCTACAATGGCATATACGAAGTAATACAATAATGTACCTACTTTATTATTTATTTCTGGGCTACTTAAATAATGATATTTTCTTAAATCTAAATTGACATTTTTGTTGGTATATTTACAATAGATATAGGTTACTTTGGTCTGCTTACGTCTGCTGAAAACAAGTGAAATAAAAACGATTTGTACATTTCCATATCGAACGAATAAGCTATTCTAACATTTGCATCTTCCTTTCTTACGAAGGTATTTGTGTTTATTCCTCGTTTGTCACCTGAAACAGAAAATAACTTTATATTGAATTTATGAAGAGTATTTCCATCGTCGACTTCATCGTCGCTTACCATTAGGTGAGATTGGAGGTCAACGCGCACTTATTGTTATAAAAATTTTGAAATTATTTAATGAGTTATTTATTTCGAGTTCTTAGATTTTCGCGATTGTTACACATTGGAAATGAAACTATTTTTCCGGATTTAAATCGCGTGTATTTGTTTTTTCAAACAAACCGACGTTTCGGGCCCTTCACAGGTCCCATGGTTTGAAAAAACAAACATACGCGATTTAAATCCGGAAAAATTGTTTTATTTCCAAGAGTTATTTATTTATTTCACTATGACGTAATGTATGTCTGTCGATTCTCATATTTGTTGTTCAATTATTTCATTTTTAACCGACTTCAAAAAAGGAGGAGGTTCTCAATTCGACGAATTTTTGTGCGTATGCTACGCGGCATTTCTGAACCGATTTTGTTGACTATTTTTTGTTAAAATAGTCACCAAATTAAATTTGAAGAAAATATTACTATTAAATAATTCCACGAACTTTTGAAGCCGATTTTTTTATAGTTATTCACATTACAATCTATTCAATAAGATATATAAACGTTATTATCGCATTCATCACCACGACAATTATATTTATATACACTAAATAATATATTTGAATTTATACATTTTCGAACATATTGATCGTACACATGGAGTTTTAATGGGATTTTTTCTCAAACCAAAATTTTAAGTATAACATACTTACCACACAAAATGATACCGCTTTTTGAATACTTATATTCCGTAACAAAGTCAGGTTTTCCGGGACCCGTTGACATGTTACTGAGTGCAACAGATACGGTGGCTGGGTCCAAGGAGTCCCATTTATCCATTTTTTTCTTCAAAGCCACGTCTTCATATATATTTTGCGCTCGTATAATGTCAGTGTCTAAACCCCCTAAAGTGTCTCGTCTCCAATCCTGAAAAATCATTACGGATTAATTGTAGTACTTTATGTCTCAAGGATAATAATTTAGTAATAATTCAACGTACATCATTAGGTATAAAATTTTTAATGCCTTTTAATAATATGAGGTTGCGTACTTGTGTGAAATTTATCCCATCTATATAATTAGGCGCTGTCACAAATCTTGCGCTTTCTGGGGAAAAATTTACACTAAATTGTGACCAATTTATACTATCGCCTTTGATGACGAATAGTTTTTTTATAGAATGTGTATCGCACAAGCATACTAGAACCGTGGCCGAGAAAAAACTATTCTAACCTAGAGTGTCGTCTCGAAATCCGTCACGACGACCATGGCAACTTTAATTCAGTAACTAATTTATTGCAACTACGTTATAATCATGATGAAGAGAAATGCACGAGAATAGGTGGCAGGTGTGGAAGACACTGTACGTACCTGTACAGTGTCTTCAGTCGCCAAGATCACGGCTGGCCGTTCCTTTATGTCTTTTCTGTCGCAGCTTTTTATTGCCGAATTATGACGACCAACTGTTTCGTGCGCATTATCTATTTTTATAACAAAGACAAAAATAAATACTCACCATGTCAATTGTTAAATGTTCTTTTATTTGCGAGAATGGTACAATTGTGACTTTATCTGGTGTTGCGTGTTCTACCACGATGTGGTAAGCTTCCGCATCCATGCGTACATTAAATTCTGCACTTGGATACTTTTCACCTGGTTAACGAAATTTAATCAATACTCAATCGTAAATAAGGAACGTCGTTGTTTTTCTTTTTTTGTTTATTTTCCATTACATATACTCAAAGTCAAAGTCAAAGTCAAAGATTATTTATTTCATAGGTAAAATAAATTTACACTTGAAAACATTGACTTACAAATAAATGGACGACGGGTCTAATACAAAAACCACGAAAAAAATGTCCCAAGTCAACCTATTCGAAATTTAAATTGTAATGTCATCGCAGTATCGCGCTGTCAGTAGAACAAATGAAGACTAAAGCGGAGTGTCGCGCTCTGTATACGATTTTAGCGCCTTACAAGTGCGGACACTTTTTAGCGCGGACCCGACGTCCATATAATTGTAAGTCAATGCTTGAAAACGTCACATTTAAGCTACTGCTCGTTCACTACGCTGACCTCCCTGAGAAGAACGAGCAAAAAAGCCTAGGGATTGCTCTTTTCAAATAACCTTAAATGCTATGGAATACACTTTGAATCAAATTTGTGTGGATTCTGGAGCCGTGTCGTCTTTTCATACATCTTTATCTAACACGTAGTCTTCAATTTTGTAATATGATTTTTCGATCAATATATTTTTAATGTAGTTTTTAAACTTAGGAAATGATAAACTTAATATATGCTCTGGAATGTTATTGTAAAAACGTATACAGTTCCCTATAAAAGAGTTGTTTACCTTGGTTAAACGAAATCGTGGTACCATGAGATTGGACTTAGCTCTAAGGTTAATATTATGCACTCAAAATAAGGACATTATACACTTTAAATCTGTTCTGTAAAGCTTATGGTCGTTCAGAATAATGCCTCAGTTTTGATGCTCTGGTACAAGGGATCAGGAGAGAGATAACTGGTGTAGTTGTTTAAAATAAATAGCTAACTGCTGCAAGTTCGAGTTGGATGAATATAATGAACATTAGTTTCTTTAAGAGATTCAGCTAGAAGATTAAGAAGGTTTAGAGAATTACTTACTGTAAATGTGCCCTCCGCCAATATATAAATGATTTAATCGGCCGAGAAACTCCGGATCCAATTTTATAGCAAGAGCGATGTTGGTCAGCGTTCCAATAGTAACCACGGTAATATTACCTGAAAATTGAAGAGCGTATTTTCTATCTTAAATATTCGTCCCATTTCGTCTTTTATATCTTATTTTTGGTCAAAAGATTGACCACTCACAAACACAACAATGATTTAAGTCATCCTCACTCTAGTCCCCTTCACTCAAGTATATAACCAGAAAAAGAGACGAAATGTCATTTAATTCGTTTGAAAACTATTCTGCCATATCTTTACTGTGACAACTGCGCTCCGATTGGCCAGCCCGAATTCGAAACAATTGACGGGTGTCGTCAATGGCTGTCGTCAACTGTTTCACTTCAAATCGACCAGCTAATGTGACCTTTGCTATAATGAACGAAAATTGCAAAATTACATATTTAATATTTAATTACCGACGAAATGTGATTCCGTTTGTTTTGTAATTAGATGTTTTGCTGTTTTTCCCACACCACCGAACAGAACAGCACGGCATTGTTAGAGATATTATCTTTATTACAATAAATACAGAATATTTTTTGGAATATACAGAGACGTACATACAGGTCAGTAGTTGGCCTGTCTATATTTCAGTGCAAACGGGAGTTGATATTTATAAGAGCTGTATCGCTAATATGTTACTAGGAATAGTGGCCCTTATTTCGTTTCTATTTCTGGTTATATACTCGATGCCTTCACTTCTTGAATTTGGCGTTAATGCCAAATCACTTCCCAAAGTTCTTGAATCGTGTTGTTGTTATTGAATCATAAGTTGCAAACGTTGTTACTTGTGGATAACAAGTAGATACTTCTTCTGAGGGATGTTAATTTGTTTTGCTCTTTGCTGCATCAACTATTATATAGTAAATGAAACTTTTTTTTATTTAAATCGCCTAAAACTGTCTTATCAAACAAATCAGTGTTAGAGTTAGTCGTAACCATGGAACCTGTCGAAAGCCCTAATGATTAGTTATGCGATTGAGATCCGAAAAATTAGTTCTGTTTTCAATACCTAGCAGTCGCAAAAACATCATAACCACATAAAGCGCACAAAATCGATAGCTTTACATGCTCTTACAAACACTTATCGATACATGTGCTATTTCTGGATTCTCGACTCTTCAAAGAATATGGGTCTTCGTCTTTACCCCACTTAAAAGAATTGCGTGTATATGAGATGCATGTTCCATTTGGAGTACTGTGAAGAAGAATTTCAACTCTTAGAATTCGCCACATTGACCCGTTACTATTTTTGGACCTTTTGCAAATTTTTGAAGACTATACTTTACTCGTAGAGTCAGATTTTATTTTGTCCTAGTTGTATCTCTATGCTCTATGTTTTTTCATGATAGCAAGAGACGGGACGAAGAAATCGTGCGCTGAGTGGAAAGCGACTCGCCTCTAAGTAATTGCAGTGCTGCGAACTTTGAAACGCAGAGATCTGAGGGGCACTACCAATGCAGCAGTTCCCTGAGACATAATAAATTGACAAGTTCCATGTCCCTCTAATTTCACCCTACACTTACCCTTCATTACCGGAACATAGTAATGTTTATATGACGTAGCAGTACTTTCCTGAACGAACTCTTTCATAGTGGGCTCTACTGCTACTGAACTGGTTAGTACTTTATATGCTATGAAGATCTCATTCACCAATTTTAGGAAACGTACTTATCTAAATGCGTATTTGGTTGCCCGTTCTATCTTGTAATCACGGTACAACGGATTTTGTACTTTATTTGTAAGTCAATGATCCTGAAGACATTGCTTTTTTTATATTCTTTTTCTATTATTTTCGCTATGTTTTTGTTTTGGATTATAATTGATATGTTGATTGTCAAACTATGTCGTGAATTTGCTATTGCCTGTGACCGCTGTTAAGTAATTCAAATTATAATCAATATTTGTGCTCATTTCTGTTGTTATCCTCATTTCATTCTCATACACATCGTCTACTTCAACCAGGTAATTAGTTAAATTGTCTAGTACATTTGTATATTCGTTAATATAGTTAATGATTTCTCAACAAATACTGGAAATGTAACTAATTTTTCAAATCTAAATTGCGTTTTTTTTTTTCAAACAAACCAACGTTTCGGGCTATTTACGTGTCCCATGGTCATAACTGACTGAGATGATGAAGTCGTCAGATAAGTCCAATACCAAACCACTCTTTTTGTCACTGTAGTTACAAAAGTTATTTAAATCCGGAAAAATAGTTTCATTTCCTACAGTATGACTTTTTTAAATTTCCAGATACCTATTTCAGATCGGTTACACGGTCCGTGGTCCCGGGTCGAATCGTGACCATCGAGGGTGTAACCCCGTGACCATGATGCGTGTAACAGTTCCGAAATATCGAGAAAATAAAAAAGATTTATACCGTGTTAAGAAACCTGTAATTAGTGATAACCTTATTTTGAATGTACCAAAGAACATTCCAATTTACTATTACGCTATATGCGTTTGGCTAAATATTTTATTTTAACAATATGAGTTTTTTATAATTATTAATACAAAGATCGAACACTCAGAAAAAATTCCTTCGATCCGGCCGGAATCGAACCGACCTCTTCTAGCTTACCGTACCAGACGCTATACGTACCAACCAAGTCACGGAACGAACCAGCGGACCTCACGAATTTTTCTGTGCTTGAATTGTTTTTTGTTTTGTTTCAAAATTCTTAATGTCAATTGTCAATTGATATTATTATGATTCTGCCAATACGGCCTTTTTAGCCCTGCTGGTTGATGACTGTACCACCTCAGTCAACCGTGACCATAGGACCTGTAAAGGGCTCGGAACGTTGGTTTGTTTGAAAAAACAAGTATACGCGATTTAAATCCGGAAAAATAGTTTCATTAAAGTTATTTAAAATTAATAGCCGTGATAGCCTAATGATTTGACCTATCGCCTCTCAAGCAGAAGTTGTGGGTTCAAGTCCGGTCTCGCTCCTCTGAGCTTTCGGAATTTATGCGCGAAATTTCATTTGAAATTTACCATGAGCTTTTCATTGAATGAAAATCTTGAGGAAACCTGCACAACCAAGAATATTCACAATTCTCGGAAAACGTGTGAAGTCCCCGATAAGCATTGGGCCAGCGTGGCGGACTATGGCGTAAACCCTCACCTTGACCGCACTAGGAGTTATAAATGGGGTAATGATGAATTAAAATTAATTACAAATTAGAAATAAAATATATTGATTAGTACTGCTCCTGCTAACACTTCTCTTCAAAAAGTGAAACAGAAAAAGAAAACTAACTTACCCGGATATTTTTTAGAAAGGTTAATGAGGGTTAGCACTGCGCCTTCATTTTGAACCGGCAATGGATCAGTCAATACTTCGCCGTTATTTCCAAGACCATCTTCGCCATAGTATTGGGAGGATTGTGGCGTTATTACCAAAGATTCTTTACAGCCTCTATATATTGGTACCTGAAGTAGAAATGGTTATTTGTTATGCAAAGCTGTAAAGTTGTTGTTTGATGCAAATGCTTGTGTTGAATCCTGAACGTAAATAGGGTTTCAAGGCACGAGATGCAGAATAACGTTGCTGCTGGGCGAAATACACAACTTTTCACCTCACTATAGCGAGGAAACTGGTAGATGAAAGAAAAACAGTTGACAATCAATACAATAATAAGAATAAAACATAAAAATGGATTTATATTACATAATTTATGTAACATAAATAATATACGACAAATCGCGTAGTTGGACGTGTCATTATGTTTTTTTTTTTCATCGAAAAAATAAGTTAGGTGCACCACAATCTGTCGTCAAATTCGACGCTTTTGCGCGCAGATTTGTAATCAGAAAGGAAGCCTTTCCTAGCTAGTGAGGTGAAAAAGAAATTGTCTCCAGCGTCTGTGACTTAAGTTTCTTTTAATCCAAAATATATTTTTTTTACAGATACCTACTAAGTGACGGGGCGAACAAGTCGTGCGCCTGCCGGTAAGGGACAAGCTTGTCCATTGATAGATTAAGCCTGTACATGCGCAGGGCGCGGTTATGTTGGCTCATACATTCACACGGCGACTTGAGTGAAGCTTACGCTCTTCAGAGCATGCTGCCAGAGCTTCTACACGTGTGCTCTATGGTCCAACTTCAAACTGAGATCGTACGGTGCCTTGCGAGTCGAACATAATAACATATTTAGGGCCTTGTTGCGGCTCCCCCGTTTCTTAATTCTGCGCATCTGGCATGTTCGCAGATGCTGCTGTGGACGATTTTTATGCCATCACGCGTAAAATGTCCACATCGATAGTATACGAAGAGTGAGAGGTAGCACCGACGAGATCCTGAAGATGATAGCGGACAGGAATGATGCGTCAGTGTTCTGGAGGTTCACTGAGTTGCATGTTTATATGTGACTCAGTGAGCCACCGGGATGGGTTCACCCTGTTTGCAATAAGTAACTATTTATTTTATTATTTGTAATTTGATAGTCTGTAGAGTGACTCGTACTGTACTAATCCTAATACTAACGTACTTATATGGTGTGTTGTATTTCTAACTTACTAATTTGTACGAACTTTATTGTCAGAAATAAATTATTATTTTTTTATTATTGCAGTTGCAGTGCCACTCAGAGCTTTAAATCGGTAAAAGATCTTAGGAGCACTGTCACCGCGCCCGTCACCCTGAGACATAAGTTGACAAGTCCCATGTGCCTGTAATTTCACTAGCACCCTTACCCTTCAAACCGGAATGTAGTTATGGTCACATTATTGCTTGACGGTAGATACAAAACAAGAAGCTCTACTGCTACTAAAGAAGTAAGGTAAACAAACTAGTTTGGTAAAAATTCTGCGATCTCGCTATCATGGAATGAGACTTTCAGGTATATTTTGATGGTTTTAAGTTCATGTCTCACCATTTTTTTTCTACAATAATCATTCGATATTACACCTCAAAATCGTATTTAAAAAATTTCAATATGGACAGTCCTTGGTTGCATAGTACTACACGGAAGAAAAACATCTCTATCATTCAAATTAGATCATAGATCTATTTACTACTCGATTACTAAAGAATGATCTAATTTCAAATCGAAAATTTCAATCACAATTGAAAAATCATCTAAGTATAAACATTATAATCCCAGTACAGTGTACTAAAAATACCGATCTCAAAAATACTTGGAATTACTTCTATTTGCCAAGTTTTATCCCCTAGTTCGCCACTTTACGGAACTTGACCCAGGAGATAATAAACATTGGTTCTCACTATTCAAAGTATATTGAGGGAGAAAAACGCCTTGAGTTGGAGAATAGCAAAATCAACCATTAAAATAATTGCTACCTACTTATAATAAAATTTAGGCGCTATTTATAAAAATGAATCTTCATACGTGAACAGCCCTCTTAGGGGTCGATGATTTTTTCCAAAATTAAATGGGACTACTATGGAGGTTTCTTTCCAACAAAAAAAGAATCATGAAAATCGGTGCACAAATACCGGAGTTAACGCGTAACACACATATAAAAAAAAACATTCAGTAGAATTGAGAACCTACTCCTTTTTTTTAAAGTCGGTTAAAAATGAGGATTGAAAGTCACAGCACGTACGTCGTGAATAACATAACTTTTTTTTAAGTAGTATGTTTGCAACAATATAGCTATCATCAACTGAGCGGAAGAATTACTTTTAACTTATATAATTGTCTGCCTTTAATTGATCTTATATTTTAAAGAATAAATTCAACGTTTCATATCCTGAAACATTCTTTTTCTTTTCTTGAAACTTTTTTATGCACTTTGCCTTCTACCACAACGACACAGTCAATTCGTACAGATTATAATTTTGTAATCCTGTATATCAAATTTCATTAGGAATCTATACTACCTCAAATGGCTTTGGTTAACTCCGCATAACAGTGAAAGTGTTAAATTAATCACTATGGAAAAACTATATAGTAAAATTGAGGATTACTTACTATACAGTGTGAAAACACGTTTCCTAAAAATTTTCACGATACAAAAAAAAAAACTCAAACATGCCTCGAAATTTTACAAAACCGCTTATGGTTAATATAACTATAATATATAAATAATATATTATAATATAAATAACGGTAATAACACGACTTATGTGAACAAACTTTAAGACATAAAACGACAACTGTGACTTTTCTATGGTTATAACAATACTTATAATGATACAAACCACAAAAGATATAAAATCGTTAAAGGAATAAAACCTGACCAATCTTGTCCAGTGGAACAAACGAAATGCTCAGTTATACCTTTATGTACACTGTGGAATAAGCAATAGTCGCTTTTAATCCTACTTTTCCTCCCCGTCATTATGGAACAATACGAAATGTGTCTTGTAAAAATATATCTGTAGTTATTCGTTAAACTTGCATATATTTTTCGAGTTGAGAGCACTTGTACCTTTAGACTCGTCAAAAAATCCCGATAACTAAAATTACGCCTTTACAAACAGGAGTTACGCCTTTAGTGCAATAAAAAAAACGACATTAGGAGACTGCTAGAGAGACTTTCTTTTGATATGTTATATAATCGGATACGCTGAAGCCAATGGTGCAATAAAAACAAAAGGGCGTAACTCGTCTTATTTTCGTTTGTAAAAAAATAAACTCTAAAATAAAGCCATATTTTAAATTAATTAATTGATTTGTAGTTGGCAGTACAGTTGGTCGCCACTAAACTGTCTATGGTCGGGTCTAAAGACTTGCTTGTTTACCTTTCATGTAGAATAGATTGAACGAACTCTAGTTTTCTCTACTATAGCATAACAATAACGTCATTCCGATATTAGATAATAACTGCCGCATAGATTTTAATATTTCTTTTGTGTTGAATGGTTCATATTTTCAGGTATCATATATTATTCATAATGAACTGAAAAAACTCACATCACGTCTCTTGGCAACGTTCAATATTTTTTGATTATTGATAAAGACATTGTCTTCGTTAGTATTTCCATTTGCTGTCGTCAAAGCGATCAACTGAGGTCTGAAAATAAAGTTATTTAGTTTAAAATTACCACATTTATATACGTTGCTTGTTTTAAAACCTATTTTGCCAGTTGCCCAAAAATTACTTGCCGAATTATCCAAGATGCGATACAAATTTTAGTTACATATATTTTTATAACTTAAAATTAGAAGACATAAACAAGAAAACGAAACACATAAAACTTTTTTGGATTTCATAATTTATCCCTTATCACAACTACACAATAATGTTAAGTAGTTAACTGAAAATTCGTTATTATATAGACGTTGTTTGGTATCCGTAAATTTTCATAAAAAAAATAATAGTAAAAAAAACACTTTACTGTTCCATAGAAAATTGCATCTGGTTACCATTGCAGGAAATATTTTTTTTAAATACAATTATTTTAATTAAAAATAAATGTTTTAATTTTTTAAGGATATTTTATTTTGTGAAACGTTGCACATAACACCAAACACGTCCTTTTCAAATTACAATTAACTCAAAGACACATTAATACATAAGATAATTAAATCGTGACTTACCCTTGAAAGTATTTTTCATAAAGTAAGGCAATAAAAATAGCCAATGCGTCGTCACCGCCGGCATCATTATCGATTATGAGTTTATTATCATTCCTAAGAAAAATAAGTCAAAACTTTTACTTTGCCAATAATAACAGAAAAACGATTACGTTCAACTATGAACTTCTTCGAAATTGGAATCTGTTTCGATATGACGATTTCAAGTGTAAATATGCTTTTTTGAAATAAAGGTAATTTGACACAGACTTTGCTATAAAAATCCAATTTTGTGGTACAATGAATGTTAAAATTATATGATTTTTGAACATTTAAAAAAAAGTAGAAATGCACCGTAAGATTTTACAAAAAATGCGTTACTATAAATCACATCTCACAAACATGTCGTTTTTATAAAAAACTGACCACAAGTTTAATCATTTTATTAGAAAAAAGTAACTTACGCGTTAACAGATAATGCCATCAAAAAAATAAGTAATAAAAATGACATTTTCATCGGTACATGTGACCAGTGATAACGTCTTAAATGAACTGAATGCTAAAGATTAGGCAATCATTTTATAATATCGAATCGAAGGTTCGAAACCTTGAACCTTTGTGCTCACGCACAACAGGCTAGAACCGATTCGTATTTCGGATGTAATCGGAACAATCATGTAGGTACTTGACCTCACCGATCCATATTTGCCTTACACTCATCGATTACACATAGTAGGTACATACATTGTGATACCCTGTAAGGGCTTTTTCAATGAGACCATTACCCCAATTTCGAGTTCTTGCGTGACTAGACCATTAATCATTTAATATATAACCACGAATGTTTTTAATCTGAAGAAAGTATTTTTGGTGGAAAAAATGTAAACCGAACAGCTTAAGAAATTAGAAATGTAAGTTGGCCACTAGATGGCGTTACTGTGAACGCCAATTGCTTCGATTCGCATTCGATTCTAAAATCTCCCAAAAAAAAAAAACAATTCAATCCTAGTTTCCTGTTATGACGCACAAACGTTAAGACAAATTTAACGATACATCATTTAATGAAACTGGCAACTGCTTTGGGAAAAACTTTAAAACAGACATAAAGACAAATATTTTCATAGGTAGATGAGTAAGTATTTTTGAGCTCAAGAATCTAATGGCACTTGATGGCCATTTCAACTTCTCTAGACGTTTTAACCTTAAATTATTTCTTTTATTTTATATTATTTTAATCAAACAAAGTGTTGAGGAATGTATTTGCAATTCAATGTTCTTTTTAAGGCTTGAACAGTCGCCAATGATTTTGACGATTTGACCTCTAAGCTGTAGTAACAATTTCATACGCCATCTATCGACCACTCGCTTGTACTTACACAAAGTCAAATAAAGATAAGTTGTAAATTAGAATACAGAAGAGTCATAAGTGTTTTTTTGCAATCTATACCTACGTTGTTGTTCCCTCAGAGACATTCGAGAATAAACCATCGTAAAAATAAACATAGATAATTTTTTTGGGATCAAAATCGTAATAGCATAAATAGTGAAAGTATTAGGTAAATCATGCAATGATTCGATCGTTAGTTGACAGGATCAATTAACAACTAATACTACTATTTTCAACTATAAAGGAGAAGTAGAAAAGAGTAGTAAAATTAAAACAAATAGTTTTATTTGCTATATTTTAAACGCATTTAACAAACGTCAATATTTACTAATTAAGTATGCGTCTTTGAAAGTACAACTTTTATGTATTTGACGGCGCGTCGATTAGTTTGTGTCTATTAGAGTGAAATGTGCTACCTGTCTCACTCTGACGTAACGCACAGCATTGGTGCAATTCAAACAGATAGCATCAACTGTCACCTGACACGGTAACGGTTAGGGCGCGAGCTCTTACGTCAGGAAAAAGAGAACAATCATCCGTCGACATCCTGTCCTGGCATCACGTGTTGTGCGGAACGTCTTACTAAATCGTTAACCTTTCAGCGGTCGCGCGGTCTATAGACCGCAGCGACCTTATTTTAGTCATTTTACAAAAACTACTACTATAAACAATAAACAGTTGCACCACCGTGAGATTCTCGAGAGGGTGAGGTACTTCCCCTTAGTAGCCCTGTGATGTCCGTCGCAAGCGCACATGTGTCTTTATTTGTGTTTGCGGTCTGAGATTACGCGCGCGCTACCGGTTGTGTTCCACAAAAATTTATGGAATGAAATTGAACCCTGGGTGAGTATTTCTAGTTATTTGTACTATATTACTTACTATATTACTTACTAAATTACATTATTTTATGTAATATGTATTAAATTATTTATTATATCACTATTTGTTGTAGACACAACATGAGTTACGAAGAAACAGAATGGATTTCAGAGGAGGCGGAACCAAAAGATGAAAATTTTGATGATGTCAAACCATTGATAATGAGTAGGTTATCATACTACCTGCTCCTAAGAAAACTTAGACTATTTACTTTTTTCCTTTTTTATTGTATAAGAATTTAGGTATTACGTAGAACATCATGAAAAAAACATTACAAAATTAATGTGATTTTAGAGTTAATAATAATAATAATAATAATAAATTTATTTCCTTCACACACAATTTCAACCATAATGAAACATTCTTAAGTAATAAAACATTTGTTGTCTGTGAAGGCTGGAGCCCAAACTAGGATACCCTGTGCTATATATAGGTCTCCAGGCCTCCGCCTACGGATAAAGTATCAATAAAACATTGACTGCGTCACGAATGATTGCTATGAGAGAAAGTTAATCCAAAATTTAGTTTATACAAATCAAAAAATTATAAATATAAATAAAATTCAAGACTAGCGGGCAACACAACAAGACTAGTGTATTCCGTAGCTCTTGGTCCCGGGTTCATTTCCCGGTAGAATCAATTTGGGAAATATACCTTTGTCTGTTCTGTTGCCAACCACCTGGTCTCAAACTAGGGAACTCCCTGTACTCCTTATGAGTGCCAGAGAAACTGAATCCAAGCACAGGCATTTCCAGAAATCCAGACCAGACCAAAGTTCTCGGAAGTTCATATAAAAAAATTATTGTACGGGAATCAAACCCGAGACCATGGGCAACTGAAGTGAATTCAGTTGCCCTTGCCGCCGCACTACCCAGAACACCTAGGCTTAAAAATATGCAATGTAAATATAACGAAATAACTAATTTATAAAATCTAAAATATAAAAACAAAGTAAAATATATATATACAAATTACATTTAACACAAACACTAGTGAAATTAATTATAAACAGCAATTTTTTGTGGCATAAACCCGCTCAAAAACACACGCGTGGTCCACCCGTCGCAACGCCTGAAAGGCGACTGAGGGTCGTATTCCAGAACTCTACTCAATACTCAAGTCAGGACTTAAGTATTGCAGTGAGCACTGAAAATCATACTCAAGTCATTGCCATTAGGGTCGTATTTCCAGTGCTTGAAATCATACTCAAGTCTGCTCCAATCCTGACTTGAGCATTGAGTAAAGTTCTAGAATACGACGCTGAGGGTAGTACTGCTAAGACCTCGCGAGTGGGAAGGATTTTTTTTTTTCAAATAATAACACTTAACTTATGAACTATATAAGTTAAAAAGAAGTAGACAATACATTCTGTTTGAAATTAAATTATCTATTTTTTCGTGTACATTTTATAAACAACGGATATTTGCATGTAAAGAGAAATTGCTTTTTATTCAATTTGAAGGACGTAACTGTAAATTTTATTACGCAAAAAGAGCTTAATAAATTGTAGTTTTGCTCAATACATTCAATTATTTAAAGACTACTAGCAGTCATATATTTTTTTGTGATTATTGGACTATTATTATTATCAGGAATTTAATTTAAAAAGAGCCTAATTCGTCAATCTGGCATTTGTTCCAGTCTTTTTACTTCTTTACTACCTGAAGTAAATATGATAAAATATCTCTACAGTAAATGTCTAGGTACTATATCGCCCTCTGGTAGTATTTTTCCGTAGCAGTTGCCACACCTACGTAGCTGCACTTCGGTTAAAAACATTGTATAACATATAGAAGTAGTATCTCGTACTAGTGAGGCCTTATATATATGTAAATAATTATAACTTTTTTATACAAATAAAGATCTCAAAAGTTTGTTTGAAATTACATCTATTGGACAAGTTTTATTGGTTAGCGAAAAGGGGTTGAAATTCCAATAAACCGGGTTCATCTCCTAATTTGCCACTCTAAGAGGCAGAGTATTTTCTTCAAATTTCAATGGGGCCACTACTGATATACCCCCTTTACAACAAAAATTAGACGAAATCGATCGAATGGAGAACCTCCTCCTTTTTTGAAATAGATTAAAAAAGTTAATAATTATTTAACTGAATTTGCCGTTTCATTATTTAAGTGCAGTTGACTATACCTATACATCGTTACTTTTATATAAGTTATAAGAGGTCATGTACTTAATTATTACAAAGTAGAAGTTTAGTTTCGAAAAGTGTAGATTTACGTTTAGATATAAAACCTATAATATTTGGTTTACATTTACAAAAGTAAGTCTATTTCTCAATACTATAGATTAGATAGTAAATGACAGTCTGCACAAGTGTATGATAGTCTACTTATTGCGACATACTTACATTTCAATTTTGAATGGGCACAGCAGTGAGTTCACTCACAATAACTCTTATTTTTTGTATCTTATGTACATTTCATATACCTTCTAGAAACGAAATTCACATTATCAGTACCTTAGTGATATACGAGTATATTCTATTCATACATGCAAGGACATAACCACTGATAATGTTATAATTTTTTTTTATTGTAATCAATATTGTCATTCCCTAGAGCCATCTATAAAGCAGCGTACGAACTACAAAGTAACATTTGTGTATGTGATGTGTTAAGGTCTTAAGGCTGGCTTTTTTGAGGTTTTGTTAGGTGGCGCAGAAACCAGAAAACCGGTAGCTCCGCGTTATTAGTTTTCCTAATTTTCTCTAACTGTATAAAATCGCCAAAAACAAAGTGCAGTTAACTTTTTGAGGATTATAATTCTGGTTTTCAAATTTAACTGGTGTAGTTGTATAAGAGTCGGTAGTAATAAACCTAAACAGTATTAATTAACTCAGTACACCAAGTTTCTGTAACCATGCATAGTAACGTTACTCTGGTAATCTTACAGGGAATTCTCGAGTTGAGACGAGGTAAATGGTGAGGTTGAAAACAAAACTAATGTTGTTAAATACTCCTAGCTCCATCTATGTTATTTCAATGAACTTACGATAAGCTAGTCTCCGACAATTGTGACTTGTGAATTGTGTTATTTTCTGCTAACGTTCTTTCTGGAACATGTTTCGTGGAAATTCCGCAAGATGGTACTTTGTACACCCTTAAACCTTAAGTGTAAAAGTATTAAAGGAAAAATACTAAACATTTATTTCGTATTATTATGCCATACGTTGGCAAAAAGTTTTAATACCGAATATTTTAGACCCAGAATGATCTGTACTTTTTCCAACACTTAGTTAAGACGCACACGAAAAAATAATTATTAGAGCGACAAAAAGTATTGTAACTCCTTCTGGTAACAGGACAACTTCGTATTTATTTTAATCTATGTGAAGTTAAATGTTTTTTCTATTCTTCTTATTAGTTAGAGATGGAGCAGACAGCGAGCCAGCGTAACTGGTGTAACTGAGAATATTGTCTGATTTATGTATATTTTTGTGATAATATTATTATTGTTCGTTAGAATGTAAATTAGTCGTACATAGTCCTACCATCATTTAAAAAAAAATTAATCTATTAAATGTTATTAATAATTTCAACCGATATAATTATTAATGTTCGATGTTTAACGTGGCGATGGTATAGTTGAATTGGGTTATGTTGAAAAACGACGTGTCAACAAGGTCAGGTTAAAAATCAGTACCGCGAGGCATACAGCCACAAGGATTATACTGAGCCTGTTCCTTACACGGACTGTTGTTGTTCCCACAATATTGTTATATTATTATGTTCTGTACGTATTACTGTGTCTGGTAAATAAATGGTTTAAAATGGTTCTTTAGAGATGTACGCCGTGAACCCGCGCCGCCACTGCCGTCGATTCATGCACACAGCCAGCGTAAAATCGACGTGGTTCTTTGTTATTTAATTACTATAATTATATAAATAAAACACTATCGCACATCTAAATGAAATATGTTGCCGTCTACGCACATTTTATTCATATTAGATTTAAATTAAAACCATTCACTACCTGCATGACATGCTCACCCACTATCCTGCAAACGACTCACGTCTCACAAGACGCATTGGAGGATTGCAGGATGACTTGGAAGCTGCGACTACATTCATAATCCTGTACTACGCGGCGAACGGCAAGGAGGACTGCAATGCAGGATAATGAATGCCCCATATAGAGAGCTTATATTTATGTGATTTGTATTTTTACGAAATGCTTTAAGTTTGTGACGGTGTGACCTCCTTACACCGTCATCTCACCTTTTTGTATCGCCTCTCTCCGCTTGTATCCTATTATTTTTTTTATTTGACATGTATTTAAATTTTAAATTTGAATTGTTCCATCTTCCTTCACTTTCTCATTTTGTTTTCGTACCACGGTTACTCCCAGCTCGACCGCCACAACAGTCGGAGCTGTTCCAAATTCCATCGCGAATAATCGCTAATTTTGGTTTTATTTATTTATTTTTTATTAGGGATAAGTGCCTTAATAATAAAGTATAGGAGTGTTTTATACTGTTGTACCTGTTTATTTATATTTACTTTTTTATTGTTACAGCCCTTTCTTTAAACTTTACTTCTTTAATAAATTTTGTGGACCGGAAGATTCCCGTTTCATTGCCGTGAACCTGTTCACGGCTAATTAGGGTTACAACCCTTTCAAGTTGACGCTTTTTAGGAAATGAAACTATTTTTCCGGATTTCATGGTCACGGTTGAGTCAACCGTGACCATGGGACCTGTAAAGGGCCCGAAACGTCGGTTTGTTTGAAAAAACAAATATACGCGATTTAAATCCGGTAAAACAGTTTCATTTCCTATGTGTAACAATCGCAAAAACCTAAGAACTAAACGCTTTTTGTGCGTTTAGTTCTTAGGTTAAAAAAACTTTGATAAGGAATACATAATTGACTATAACTGTCTATGTTTTAGAGCTTTATTCTTTAAATCAGATGAATATATACCACGCCGATCACGAATAGAAAAACCTGAAACCTGAGACAATTTTACGATCGGCGCACATCTCTAGTCTCTATTGAACATTTATCGGGATGTGTATGCTAAACCGACCGACTTTGGGTTTTTTATGCAGACTGTGAACGAAGTGGACACCATTGTCACATACTTCAATTATCACGACACTTAAATCTTTAAATACTTTTATTTATTACGTAGCTACTCAATGCCGTATCGTCGGGGATAGTGCAAATCCGCGTATGTAGTATTTGTAAAAAGCGCGTATCTGAACCAAACCAAATGTCACAGGAGAGGGATTTAACGTTAATTACTTTTCAACACATTTGCTCGTAACGGGCTTCTTATTGTATCGCTTTTAGGCTCATAAACCTAGCTATTGAACACGCGTTTGTAATTATATTACAAAACGTGTGTGTAATAAGTATAGGCTTAACCGGATTAAGATGTATCTCACAACAAGGCCTATGTATTAAAACTATGCATTCTTAAATTATCCGGGTTATGTCTTTGAAATTAACTTGGTCTATTAAAAAAACAGCTCTAACCTACATATTATAAGATTCAAATTACAATGACAGTAATCCCAAACAAACAGGGTCACAGTTTTTTTTTTATTTCTGTTTAATACGGTTGTGTAGTCTTACCTTACAAATAATATTTTTATTAATAAATTTATATTTCTTATTTGATGTGATAAATATAGAAAAACATACACAATATACACCTATAAAACTTTAATTGAATAAAATTACTTATTTTGGATAATATTTTACACGAATTTGAGTGAAATAAGGACATATTTATATTATTTCGCATTGGCTGTTTAGGAATTTCACCTAAGTCTCATTATTGCCGAAGCACCTGCGCGCGCATACCCGCGCCGCGGCGCCAGGCGCAGAAAAAATAACTCTGCGCGCCAATTTCCATTGATACGTTCGAAACATTTATATACGCTGTGTGTTAGATAATTACCTAGGTGTTTAAAATGTCCTGCTCAAGCACGGAAGAAAACATTTTGATGGATTTAACACCGCCCGAAATCCTCACAGAGGCACAAAACGCAAGTGACAGTTTATTGCCTTCGAAATCCAGAGAAAAACACATGGCTGCATATGAAACTTTTATACAATGGAAAACCAACAAAAAAGCGTCTTCGTTTTCAGAAAATGTTTTTCTTGCCTATTTTCATGAACTGGCGAATAGGTTTAAGCCCAGCTCGCTCTGGTGCATTTATTCTATGTTAAAGACCACAGTAAAGAACAAGAATAACATAGACATAAAAAACTATTCAAATCTGACGGCATTTTTAAAGAGACGCTCTGATGGGTATGTTGCAAGAAAATCGAAGGTACTTTCGCCAACTGACGTCGAAAAGTTTTTAAAAGAAGCCCCCGATTATCAGTATTTAGCAACAAAGGTCAGTTGATCGTATTAAACCTTAATTTTTTTATGTTTTCATTTTTCTTGTATTATATTTGCGAAAATACCTATATTTTTAATTTCTTTACAGGTTGCAATGATATTTGGTGTCACTGGCGCGTGTAGACGCCAAGAACTAAGCGAAGTAACGGCAAAAGACGTAGAAACTCATGGCCAAATGCTTTTGATTAAAATTAACAACACTAAAAATAAGGTACCGAGATCGTTTGCCATTCACGGTCCATTTTACGACATAGTAAAAAAGTACGAAGCGCTTAGGACAGATAAGGCAAAATCCGATCGGTTTTTTCAAAACTACCAGAAGGGTAGATGCGTGGCTCAGCCAATAGGCATTAATAAATTTGGTGCAATGCCTAAAGAAATTGCCAAGTTTTTAAATCTACCCGACCCGGATTTATACACTGGGCATAGTTTCCGAAGAACATCAGCTACATTGCTAGCTGACTCGGGAGCTGATTTGCTTACTTTAAAGCGTCATGGTGGCTGGCGATCTAGCACAGTTGCTGAGTCTTATGTTGAAGATTCAGTTCGAAATAAGTCCAACATATGTACTCAAATAACCCACGCTATAAATCTGGAGCCCCAGGTTAAGAAGATGTGTCCTGAACCGCAGCCATCCACCTCCCGTGATACAAGTTATTTGTTACCTAGGTTGTCTATTTCTGAGTCTTTAAATGAACCACCACCACTTTCATCCATATTTGTACACAATGAACCCGTATCACCGACTTTTACGCAAGAAGACAATAATGAAATAGTAACAAATAATATCACACAGACGGTTCAAATGCCTAACAAAACTGCACGTTACCATTTTGAAAATTGTACATTTAACAATTGTTTTAATAATTAAATTTAAATAACTACATTTTTGATAAAATCAAGATACAATGACTTTGATAGGCTTTGGAGACTCTTAATTAATTGCTATTGATAGATATAGTATAGAATAGAATAATATTATTTACATTAACGTGAGCTTAATATAGT